TTAGTTCGGTTTTGACCTGAATATGTGTCATTGACACTTCCTATATGGGTTGGATTAGCATGACAGAGATTAGAAAATCTCATTATATTGAAAATATATATGATTCAATTCACAGAAACTCTTTTGAATTCTTAATATAGCATTTATAAGACAATGATCTATTTAAACTTAAGCAGCGATGCATTGTATAATTGACAGAATGTGTGAATTAAGACTTCAAAATAAATTAGAAGACACTTTGTTCATCATACTATATATTCCAATTTTTCAAATTATTCGTACCTATACATCATCATTGTATATTACATACTTTATGAACAAGATGCATTCAAAATCAACATTCAGATTAATGAGGAATATTCTGTTAAAATTGCTGCTACATTAAAATTGCTTATACCAATACCGGGTGAATTTCAGGCTTTCAGTTCTAATCTACACCCCAAGTATATCTTTAAAATTCCATCAAAATTTGTATAATTTCTACAAACATTAAACACTTTTCTGTTAACTATATAGAAAAAGGATTCTTATACAACAGTGATTCTTTTAGAACCATTTGTTCTGAAATTTGTTCTGAAATTTGATCTTGTATAAACAAAAGAAATGTACTGATTTTATTATATTTTTGCATTCGGATCAATCATATCTCCTATTTCTACAGTACCAATACATTACAAACATCGCACCAATATTTCGATACACACATATGCAGCTTATAAAGGTCTAAGAAAGTATGTACTTTGTTATTCTAATACTTAATTTATTATAAAATTGAGCAAAAATGTCATAGGAAACTTCAGTGCAAGCACAAAACGATATTAAAAGATCTCATTTCTATGTAAAGATTCAGTATTTTATATTTTAAATATTGTAACTTGTCAATGCACAAATATAAAATAAAACAGTAAAAGGTATTACATAAACAAAGAGATTTCAACGTGATAATGTTGGTCATTAAAAGATACATATGTATAAAAAAATATTTGAATTTCATTGTAATACTGAACAAATTATAATGATATACCAATGCACACACTCATTCACGAACATTGCACTTTTATATGAAATGAACATGAAAGAAGTCACACTGATTTTATTTTTAGTTTTCATACTTTTCCAAGCATATATCGCAATAGTTTCCATACAGAGCAACTTCTGCGTAATTACAAAATGCTGATTTAGTAGTGTCATGAAAAACGTGTAATATAGTACAAGATTAGAAAGATCTTTAGATAAAGTTGTATAAGTAGACTATTCAATTTTCTAAATGTACACAACTGTGCTGGAAAATAGTTAAATGTTAAATTAGAGTTATTAATGTTAGTTGCATATAATCCAAGAGTATGACATGAGTAAAGTTATTACATTACACTGTAATAACGAGATAAATTGAAAGAAGCAGTAGAAGACTATGTGTATTCGATTATGGCTATTTAGAATATGTTATGCAATGTTAAATGTTTGTCGGCTAAATATTATACTTGTTTGTACATTGGCGTAAAAGTTACAATATACATTCATTACACGTCATCATTGTATATTACATGAACATCGTACATTAACATTATCACTTTGTATCTACAAATATCTAGATTATTCTAGAACTTAATCGTACGTTCATTTGTCTGCTAAATGAACATTTAATTACTCAAAGGTACTCATATCATACTCACCCATTTTATTTTTATTTTTCGTCAATTATTGACTCCCTATCACATATGTAAATTTGATTATTAATATACCTCTAATTACAGAGTGTGTAGAATATATCAGTCTCAAGTAGCATATAGCAGAGTATTATCAACTCTATGATTTTACCATTTGGCAAACATAGCAAACATCAAACCATAAAAGTTCGATCAAAGATTTGTGTGTTCCTCTGCCCTTTGTGATCTGATATTAAGTAATTATTTTACTAAGTTCTGGAGGTTCTACGTAATTATTTAACACGTGCGGCGCTTCATTGAATTCGTCGAGTTCATCGCCATTATCTGCTCCTTGTGCAAGTAAAAAATATTGTTCGCTCCGTGTCGGCCAAAGTAAATGAGCCATCACACAATATGCAAAACAATCGGCAGAGTATGTAATACCTATGAATGTATCGTGAATGAGAAAATGACAACCTCCTTAATTTTAGCGTTTACTTACCTAATAACAATTTAAACCTCCATAATGCGCTCACCTGAAGAGCTATAAGTGCTATAATAGGTAGATAAATAAACCAAACTAAAGAAGATGCACCAAAATGGAGTAAAAAGTTTAACTTCTGAGTATTGTGTTCATATGTCATAGTATTTCGAAGTTCACACAGAAACCATATCATTATTGCACTTCTAAATAGAAGTATGAACCACCCCGGCCATGTCTGGTACTCGTCAATATCCTCAATTATGTCGACTTCCGTCTGAAAATAGTGTATATATTTTACTTTATCCTACATCCCTGTGTAAATGTACTAAAACAAAGCCGTACCATGTTCCATACATATAGCAAGATATGTACCACTCCGTAACAAAGCCATATAGCAAAAACTAATGGTTTCCATGTCAACTCCATTCTTGTTACTGCCCATCCCTTGGCAAGTAAAAGGAGCAGCAACATAAACGATGTCTAAATAGTAAAAAGCCATTTAACAACAGTTACATTGCTACAATCTAAAAAATATAAAAAGAAAGAATTAATTCTATGCTTACCCGAGATAGGATATCAAAAATATCTCCAGCGACTTCTAATTGTTCGTAGCCAACTCCATCAAGAGCAAACTTTAGCACATGTATCAAAATTAAACATACTGCTATAAACTCTAACAGAAGACTGGCAGTGAACAATCTTGTCACAGGATGCTTCTGCAACCTTACTGCATACAATTGTAGTGGCACAAGTATTATGTAGCACATGAAGAATAGCAAGTACAATTCTATAGTGTTTTGCCTATCATATGAAAATTGATAAGTTAAACTATTTAGGCCACTAGTATTTGGATTACCATTTACCAGCCAAATATCATATTCTAATTCGTCATGTTTATCATAATATTCCCACTGACAAGTAGTTGTGTTTCTGTAACACGCCACCAGACTCATGTACCAAAAGCGTGGCTGCCAGAAATCTTGTATGACGTACGTAAACTGATGTCCCTTTACAATGTTCCATATAGAATCTTCGTCTGGACATAATTTACCCTTCGGACAAGGTACTCTCCTTCGAAGAAAACACAAATTGATTCTTTAATAAAATGTCAACGAAGATATGTATGAAATTTTAGAAATACATACCTTAAGAAATCTTCACCTTCCTCGTTACAGTGTACATCGTAAGAACTTTGATTTAAAGTATTAAACATAAGAGTACAAGCGGTACTCTTATCGTGCAACGTTCGGTTACCATAATATTCTATAAAATGACCTCGGTCCAACACTGCCAACGTGATCGGCACAGAAAAATTGGTCTTCGACGTAACGTTACCGAAAATGTAACCGTACGAGTCCTTCTGTCGATGACGATCGGTCTTTTGGAAACCGAACTTGATGAGGAAACGAAAGAATTCTTTCGTGTTGAAGGTGCCCGATATGTGTGTGGTTTCAGCATAGTTGACCCGGGAAACTATACACCACGCGAGACAAGCCAACAAAATCTGTCCGAATGTCGTCATGGTTAAGCGTGGTCTGGTGCACAGTATCTTCTCCGCAGTTGGATGTCAAGAATCATCGATGCTTGTGGAATTCCTGAGCATTTTCTTCCGATCAAGCACAGCTGTTAACTGATCGTCGTTTTATCACTTCTTGGGGAACGTTGGAGCCGCGTGCGTCAACAGACAATGTATTTCGAAAGTGTCATCGCGAAGGACGGGAAGGACCCACGGCTGAGGACACATCGGACGCGCACCCGGACACGCTCCAAAATAATACCATGCGTTCCATCCGCGAAACGTTAATGACCCATACCTCTGATTTCGACTCGGTTTTCCTATTGATTTTCCCCACCCAAAGTAACAGACCGGCTGCTGCGAAACATTTTGTCACGGCTATTGCCGCACTCTTAGAAATTTTCGCGCGCTCGAAGACACTTCTGTCTACGATCAAATTTTACGGTCGGACTCTTTAGATAGCTGCACACATTCGTCTATAAACCAGTGAACTCGTCATTTATCTGAACCCTTGATCGATTTATTTATCTCTGAGAAAGTATCGAATCCTATTGCATATTCTGTAATCAAATAAATTCGATTGAATTTTTCTTAAGATAAATCATTGCCTCGAATGATTGTACGATCGTGCCTGATTATAAAATCACCTATAGTCACATTATTATTTTCGAATTGACTGACGCAATCAAAAGCATTTGTTCAATGTTTGTTCTATGAACGACTGTCAGTTACGATTACGAACCAATGAAATACAGGCTGTTGGTTAGTATATGTATTCATTTTCTTGTATCAATTAGTTATTGTAACGAATGTCCAGAAAATTATTCGAAACCAGACTTAATGCAGATGCTGATACAATTTTAATGTACATAACCTCAATGTGTCCTATTAAAATGCCCATTGTTGTTGTATTAATTTATAAAAAAAACTCGATAACGAAATAAAATAACATGTAATTCGTCTTATTCTTTCTTAGACTTTTGTTTTTGGAGTAGTAGCGCGTGTAGCCACTGTGACGTGCAGGACAGTCGGGCTTACGAATACTACACTCACTTCTCGAATAAACAATTATTAAGAATTACGCCTAACAATTTAGATTCAATTAACAAAAAGAATTTTAAAAAAATTTGTTTATTTTTTATAGATATTTATATCATTGTTTAAATTACAGCAGTCAATGTTTATTATCATTTCCAAATTAAAGGCCCCTTTCCAAAGGGGCTCGGAAAGTCTCGTACGATATGAAAATAGCATCTTACTTTGTAGACGTAGACAATTTTTTAAATATTTCCCTATTTAAACACAACATTTTTCCTAAATTTTTTAAGCTACTGATACGTTTTGTGATTCTTTTTTTTGTGGGCTCCACCTTATTTTCTTGATCATTCTCAACGCTTCGACTTACCCCTAATATGTAGAATACACAAATTAGGAAGCAGACAGAGACAATATCGCACGATCATCAAGCTGAGTACGCACGGTAAAATTTTCTACAAAAAGATAAAACGAACGATTTATATTGCTTAAACTTTGAATGCACAAGACGGATACTGCAGATTAAACCTGTAAATCGAAAATAGCGAGACAATTGGCCGTTCTTATTTATCTGTATCCCACAATTATTTTTCATTGATTTATCTATTTGTTAGATAATTGTTTAATCTTATTTTATCGCAACACTTGTAACAACATAAGTTAGAATGCATTGTAGAAAAATTCATTCGAGATTCACTCTTATATTCGTCTTGAATTATATTCGCATGAGCCATCATGATCGGGAGATCGTTAAGGATATTAATTCCTTTTATCCCTTTTTTCGAAAATGTATCAAACTTGATTCAAGGAGGTAACAGCAAAAGTACAATATTGTTCATCTGTCCTCTGTGTACAAAAACAACACCTAAATAACATGTTTACTATACCGGATGAGAGTATCGGTCTCGTGTAAATATTTGTCCCGATTACTTTCTACGTCTTTTCACATGAAACCGTTATACATATATTCTGCCTATTAACACTGTTATTTGACACAATAATTGTTTAAAAATTACGCGGACACAGTATTAATATTTATATTAATACCGACATAAATATCAATTTACATTCTCGCGAACTGATAGTGGTCATCCATCTTTATTAACGTAGAACGCGACATCATGTCATTTTATGATATAGTCTTGTCAAATATCTAACAACATGAACAATTAAAGACTATTTTCTTCGAACAATGCGCAAACCGTCCATGAAAATCAAGATTACAGACATTTTATGCAAAATTATAAAAATAGAAGTTGCACGACGCGAATTCATGTCGCAATCGTATCGTCGATACATTCCAAAATGCTTCACGAATTTACTTCCTCCTCGATGATTATCATACTTCTATGCTTACCAATATTTTCAGCAGAACCTATTCGAGCAATGGTGTATGGAAATTCGTATATTAAATACCATATAAACAACATTAAATATCGCGATCCGATGATACGAATGAGGTTATGACTTTCGTGGTGCATGTTCCCCGCAAACGCCTCTCGCCGATTCTGCTTCGAATTATTGTTTAAGCATAATTTTGCAATATTATTTGTCCATTACATGGTCGGATAGTGTCTCGATCCAAAATATAAAATTTCTTTTTATTATACACGATCCCGTTGCAAAATATCGAGACAGTATTGGTGCTAGTTCTGTGGAGGGATACGAATTCCGGCACCACCTATTTTAAACTCGTAATATCGAAGATACAGGACGATGTTTATCGATAAATGACCTATGATAGGAAACATCGGTCCCATTGGAATCGATTTTGATGGATATGCGAGGAAAAGTTACGGATAAATCGTCGATTTTTAGTATTTTTCCGCGACATGTCCCAGTCGCGGTAAAATACAGTCGCCGGGAAATGGTGGCGTTCTCGAGACCCTAGCGAAGTTATCGGCCGGTGAACCGCCGCAAATAAAACTAGATACACGTGGCCGTCCGTTCGCATTATCGTTTTAGTTTAATCCACGCTAACTAACAAGAAATTACGATCAAAATCCGATGATCGTTTACCGCTTCACCGTTTTTCGAGGATCTTGCCGCTCAACATATTCGTTGGGATTCTCTCCATGGTCCGTGCTCACGCTACCAGTTGGTGATATATCTGGGTGGATATCGGTTTTGAGCGATTGTCGAGGCGAGGTAGACACGCGGATTTGACAACAATTTGTTGTGTTAGAACAAGAGAAGTGAATAACAGTGAGACAAAGATGGAGGACAAGACAAACGTTGCAAACACAACGGTTGAGTCTGAAAGCAGTACCACCAGTCCGGCGAAGAAGACTACGCCGAAAACGAAATCTGCGAAAACAACACAGAAGACTGCCAATAAGGCCTCTTCTCATCCACCTACATCAGAAATGGTGAACGCCGCCATCAAAGAGCTGAAAGACCGCAAGGGATCTTCGTTCCAGGCAATCAAGAAGTACGTCGCTACAACTTATAAAGTGGACGGAGAGAAGATCGCTCCATTCATCAAGCGATATTTGAAATCTGCCGTCACGTCTGGCGCTGTTGTTCAAACCAAAGGAAAAGGTGCTTCTGGATCGTTCAAATTGCCCATGGCAAAGGGTGCCGAGTCTAAGAGCAAGGTTCAGAAGGCGGTAAAGGCGACTGAGCCGAAGAAGGCGAAGAAGTCCGTTGAAAAGAAGACAACGACGACGACGACGACACCGGTTCGCAAGGCAGTCGCGACTAAATCACCAGTTAAAAAGACTGGGACGGTAAAGAAACCTGCCGCGAAGAAGTCTCCCGCCAAAACTGTGAAAGCCTCCCCAAAGGCTGAGAAGAAAGCTTCCAGCGAAACCAAGGCTATGTCCAAGAGTAAGAAAACAGCAAAAGCACCGGCGGCCAAGACCAAAACTCCCAAACCCAAGAAGACTGCGGCTACAAAAGCAGTTAAGCCTGCAGCTAAAAAATAATTGGCTCTACAACAGATTTTCCATCACCTCATAAACAAATGGCCCTTTTCAGGGCCACAAAGCACCTTAAGACAAGGAACGGCGACTGTTCAGACAATCTTGTAACAGTATTACCCGAAGATTACTTTATTGTAGGAAATATACTGTGATATACATACGTGCACTGTATTATATTATAAATAATACATAATCTAGATTGTTTTTATACCGATTAGATATAAGAGTTTTGATGGTGTGTACATAATGTATCGACTGTAGGTCGAAGTCAAACTAATATCGATTTTGTAATAACGTTCTCGTCTATTATTTATGAATATTTTCACTTGGAAAAATAAATTTAATTAATGTTAGTATTTCATTTATTATAAGATATCGTTAGGCTTCGTAATATATATATATATACTTCCTCTGTATACATAGAACTAAAATAAATATACTTTTATACCGTCATTTTCTTGTCATTTGATCTTACCTTTCCATTTAGTTCATAATTTAGGCTTAAATTCATAAAATGAGGCTTAGCTTCACATAGTTGAATATTTCTCATAATAAAATGTATTTCTGAAACATTTGTTTGTAATGAGTTTATGATGAGCATACGGCAATGAGGACTGCTACTTGCTAAATAAATTGATGTATTTTATACTTTTTATTTTGTGGACAATTATTCTAAATTACAAGTATTATAAGTGACTAGCAAAATTATAGAAAATGGCCCAATTTATTAAAGCGCCTCCGAGAAGATGATATAAAACATATTTTTATTTACAAATATCAAAGTTAACATATTTGAATGTCTGAAATATGTAAATTGAAACTCATTTAGAATGGGTGTCAACACAGTATTTGAATTTTTCGTGTTATGTATTTGATATTGGAGCATTAGTTAACACGTTTACGTATTTATACTTTAACAAGTCATGTTACAACAGGATTACACACAGTTACTTTGGTTATACAAATAAATTATCCTCATAATTTAAACAACACGGAACTTTTAGCAGTAGAAACAATTTTAAGCCAAATATAGCAATGGCTTAATTATGTATGGTATAATTATGGTTTAATAATTTAAGTGTTCTCAACTGTAAATACTGTACACAGTTTTCAGATAAGCTGCAAATACTATCGTAAGTATTACTCATGATTTTTGGAGTAGTACAAGGGGTTAAGATTGCAGAGTGATTGAAACATTTTCCACGTATAAAATATTTGTGGCCCTTAAAAGGGCCGGTTTGATAATAGCGAAACGTGTTCACTTAGAGCTGGTGTATTTAGTGACAGCTTTGGTGCCTTCACTGACAGCGTGCTTCGCAAGTTCACCAGGCAGCAGTAGACGGACAGCAGTCTGAATTTCCCGAGATGTGATGGTGGATCGTTTGTTGTAGTGGGCCAAACGAGATGCTTCAGCCGCAATGCGTTCAAAGACATCATTAACAAAACTGTTCATGATGCTCATGGCTTTACTGGAGATACCAGTGTCAGGATGCACTTGTTTCAAGACTTTGTAAATATAGATTGCGTAGCTCTCCTTCCTCCTACGTTTCTTCTTTTTATCAGCTTTACTGATATTCTTCTGGGCCTTGCCGGCCTTTTTCACCGCTTTCCCACTGGCTTTAGGCGGCATTGTCGAATAGAGGTTTCGTGAGAGAATTCGTTTCGATACGAAAATGTTGTGTCGAATGAGATACGTAAGTTCGAGTCTCGTTTTATGTAGAAACGGGAACCCTACCGCCGCGCCAATGGGAGCGCGGTACTCCCCACCCTTGCGTCGGCACTCTCCGATTGGTACAGAGCGAACACCTGCTGGTGGTATATAAAGAGGGTCCGGCGGACTGCAAAATTAAAATCGAGAGACTCTTCGATATCGAACGTTCTCTACACGTCAAGTAAACAACCAACATGTCTGGACGCGGAAAAGGTGGCAAAGTCAAGGGAAAGGCGAAGTCCCGCTCTAACCGTGCTGGGCTTCAATTTCCCGTTGGTCGTATCCATCGACTTCTGAGAAAAGGAAATTATGCTGAACGCGTCGGCGCTGGTGCTCCGGTTTACTTGGCAGCAGTAATGGAGTACCTGGCTGCTGAAGTTTTGGAGTTGGCCGGTAATGCGGCCCGTGACAACAAGAAGACTAGAATTATCCCACGTCATTTACAATTGGCTATCCGTAATGACGAAGAATTGAACAAATTACTTTCCGGTGTAACGATAGCACAAGGCGGCGTGTTGCCAAACATTCAAGCTGTACTTTTGCCGAAGAAGACAGAGAAGAAAGCTTAATCTCAATCCTGAATTTCAAACGGCCCTTTTCAGGGCCACCATTTATATAACATAGGAATCATTTCCAATTTACTGTACATAGAGAATCATATTTACTTACCGATTATAGTAATCTCTAAAACCGTTGGATTTAATTTACGTAATTCATATATCTGATTTTACATTTTGCTATTAATTTACACGTATAATTGATTAAAGTATACTAAAGGTATACTATTTATGATTTTATGATATATAAATTATAGAATTGATGCGTTACAAATATCACAAACGTTTGAGAGTGTTATACATTCAACTTATTAAAATTAAGAGTTTCATGTAATTAGTATATGTTTAATACATACAGATAAATCTAATAAGATACTAGATTAGCATACTTTTTCAAATAATATGGAAACAACGGTGTTAAATTTTCTTGTAAATGACATCTTTCGTGTTAGAGTCTATAACAATAACTTATACTATATATAATATAGATTACATGTTTTATAGAATTACAGGGTAACAACATATATTACGGGGTAATAAGTTTGATGTATTACAAACATACTGAAATTATTGATTCCATAACTTCCATAATTTATTGATTTGTACGATACCTAACGGTTTAAAGACGAAAGCGAAATCACAGTATACATACATATATATTTCTGTTGCTAGAATTACGTTTGGCAACATTGTGCCCATAAGAATACACGATAGGAGTGCGAGACTGTCCAGACGGCGTAATTTGGCAACGTCGCGTGCGGCCATCGTGTATCACTTTTCTCGTCGATACTCGAACTTCGCATGAGACGCAAATAAGCAGGGTCTTGAACTCAGAACATTTACTACTAACTCTCATTGAGAACGTGCGATCTATTTTAGTCAATAATATTGCAATAAAAATCAGTGCCATACAATTATTCAACATTTATACTACAAAAGTACAATCTCTTTCCGAAAATTTTACGCGCAAACTATACAATAAATATGCAATACATATGCAATATTTGAAAAGTTAAAACCATGATTCGCGATTCTAAGACATGAAACTTTGACGGATAAACTTAAAAAACACGCGGTGTCAACTGATTATTTACATCTATATTCTGACAAATTCGTCATTTCTACATTCATTCGAATAAAATTGTCAACCTTTGCAATAAAAATTACAATGCACTTTAGAAATTGTCAAGGTTTTTCTAAACTAACTACATTAAATGAAAGATGATTCTTACACATCTTTGGATGTTACGGGGATTTTTACAGAAAGGATCGAGGTCTCCAGTTAATGTTGATCGTGTTTCTGTGTTAAATAATTGTGGCCCTGAGAAGGGCCGTTTTGCTTTGCTTGACGATTGTCTGTAATCGTACGTCGATGTGATGTCCCCAAAAGAAATGCAGCTTAACCTCCAAAACCGTACAAAGTGCGTCCTTGTCTCTTCAGGGCATAGACGACGTCCATGGCTGTGACGGTCTTCCTTTTGGCGTGCTCGGTGTAAGTGACTGCGTCACGAATGACGTTTTCCAGAAATACTTTCAGCACACCACGAGTTTCTTCGTAAATCAAACCGGAGATACGTTTGACACCACCACGACGAGCCAGACGACGAATGGCCGGTTTTGTGATACCTTGGATGTTATCACGAAGTACCTTCCTATGACGCTTCGCTCCTCCCTTTCCCAATCCCTTTCCTCCCTTTCCACGACCAGTCATTTTCAACGACTAAAAAGTGTTTTCGACACGATGTGAAAGATTCGAAGAACGGATTACTTCTGATGCTCGGATCCTGGATTCACCGGCTTTTATAGATGACTGCTGCAGTTCATCCCCACCACTCTGCCGGCAGCCAATGAGCAGCTGTAACGTGTAGTAGCGAGGTTATAAATATCAGTGTCGACCAACATCTGTTCCAATAGAAGGATAAACGTCGACGAAGATCGGTTGACGTATTTTTTATTAAAATGACTCGCACTAATCAATGCAATGCAATAAAAGAAAAGAGCAAACAGCCGACAAGGAATAAGGCTCTTAAAGAAATACGCCGTTACCAAAAGAGCACAAAGTTGTTAATTCCTAAACAATCTTTCGAACGTCTTGTACAAGAAATTGCGCAGAATTTAAGGAACGATAAAAAATAAGATATTGCACCAGCTCTTCCGATTTGAATAGTACGGGAAACTTTCATCTTAAAACGGCTCTTTTCAGAGCCACTAAATTTTGCGAGGTACTTCTCCTATCAATTAATATTCTATTCTGACAAATTACTACAGTTGTGTATGACATTTTGAAAAATTATTAAATAAGCATATTTATTACTAAATCATAAAGATTGCTTAAAAATGTTCAATCCATGTACGTAAACGGTATAGAGTTACATGTATACGTATTCTATTCTGACAAATTACTACAATTGTGTATGATACTTTGAAAAATTATTAAATAAGCATATTTATCACTAAATCACAAAGACTGCTTAAAAATGTTCAACCCATGTATGTAAACGGTATGGAGTTACATGTATACGTATTCTATTCTGACAAATTACTACAATTGTGTATGACATTTTGACAAATTATTAAATAAGCATATTTATCACTAAATCACAAAACTGCTTAAAAATGTTCAATCCATGTATGTAAACGGTATGGAGTTACATGTATACGTATTCTATTCTGACAAATTACTACAATTGTGTATGATACTTTGAAAAATTATTAAATAAGCATATTTATCACTAAATCACAAAGACTGCTTAAAAATGTTCAACCCATGTATGTAAACGGTATGGAGTTACATGTATACGTATTCTATTCTGACAAATTACTACAATTGTGTATGACATTTTGACAAATTATTAAATAAGCATATTTATCACTAAATCACAAAACTGCTTAAAAATGTTCAATCCATGTATGTAAACGGTATGGAGTTACATGTATACGTATTCTATTCTGACAAATTACTACAATTGTGTATGACATTTTGACAAATTATTAAATAAGCATATTTATTACTAAATCATAAAGACTGCTTAAAAATGTTCAATCCATGTACGTAAACGGTATAGAGTTACATATGTAGGTATAGATGGCGTCGTCGTCGAAATCAAATATTCAGTATCGAATTCCAGTAACATTTTTTATCCACTTCGAAAAATTTGTTATACTTGTGAACACTGTTGGTCTATCAGTCGCCGTAACTGACGATGCCAACTTGAAATGGGACGTTGTTTCTTATGATAAGGAGAGGGTTGCCGCTATCGCCCTAGACATTTCCAAGTCGTTAAAAACCTAACGGGAAGAACGCAGCGTCGGTCTACGAAATTCTTTATACCTGGCAGGCATTCTGTTCAAGGCCAACCGTGCAAATGTTCCTTTCTTCTATCTGCCAGGTACGACCGCGTTCGTCGTTGCCGATTATAGGCAGCAGGGCATACTTTAGGGCCTTTGTATCTGAGCTGGTCTGCCTGTTCTTTCCCCACCCGACCGCATAGCCGGCCATGTCAACGAAGGATTCCCTCGCCTCGTCCGAACCAGCCAGCTGTATCGGTTGAATTTTTTCTACGAACAAAAGCGTCCGTTGAAGCCGGCCCAACGAGTCCAACATTTGTTCGCTAATCGCATGATCTACGACTGAACTACGCTCTGACATTTATATATCTATTTATATTTATAATTTAACTGTACACGATAGAGAAAATTTCGTTGCATCGCAAACTACACCGAATAAATTATTGATACTACAAAAATTATTGACAGAATAAAATTTCAGCGACTCGAGGAATTTTATTTGGAGCCATAATTTCTAGCAATAAATAATGTTATACACGTACGATTGAAAGGAATGTCTCGAGGCATACGCAGGCAATCCGACGTCGTTCGCGGAATGATAATATTTGGGATGAACGAGAGCATGCAACGTTATCACGGAGACACCAGGACCATGATTATAATTGTATACAATCTCAGACTTATCAACGACGCCGAACACAACGAAGAATTTACGCGGGAAATTGTGTATGTAGTAGAGACCGGCCGTCAGAACCCAGCGCTCGGAAATTATGGTGCCACCGCATTGAGAAGTCGCCCCGCCCGGCAATAATCGATGCACCACCGCCATAAAAGGGAATTGACCGTCCACGACGGTAATAACCGCCAACTATTTTATTCCAGTCGACTACAATAGCCGAACACAATGCTCAAACATATTCGACGAATTCCCGAAATACGTTCAAAAATTCTGAAGCAAAATTAATTACATGCCCGAGGAGAATAGAAAAAACTGGACGCGATACGCGGCAGTCTAGAATATTCTTTGCCATTACCCGAATTCTTCTCACGATCGCGGCCATTTTCCTCTAAAAAACCAGAAACTCTGGGACTAAACAACAAACCGATGCAACTTTACAAGAACATCATTCTTTTCGAATTTATTTTGGACTGACAGGAATTCGCGCATATTCTGTGCATTTATGGTGCAAGGTTTATTCGGGAAAATCACCCGAGGCGGCACGTTCAACGATATTTCAAAACTTCCTATCGTTTCGTATTCCCCGGAAGTCCGTTTATTTTAACTAATCGATTTGTGTCGCAATGAATATATATATATGAATATGTATATTATATATATATTAATAGTGTATATATGAATATATATATATATGAATATGTATATTATATATATATTAATAGTGTATATATGAATATATATATATATAAAAAATATAAATATATATATATGTGTGTGTAGCAATGAAACGCTATTATAAAGAGTCGGAGGAATATACAAATATATTGATTGATTGATTGATTGATTGATTTATTTATTTATTTATATGAATACATTACAGAAAAGTTTTTCGTTTTGCAAAATGGTTCTTGTTATATTTTATTTTTTTAGTAGTATTCTTCTGTGACTTGTTGGATCCAGTCTATATAGCCAGTTACTCTTGAGAATACGCCAGGCCGATTACTAGGGCAATTCGCGTCTCCGTAGCTGACAATTCCGATTTGAACAGGAACATTATTTTGGTACACGATTAGAGGACCACCACTGTCACCCTGTGAACGAAAAGGGAACTTTTAAAACATCTATTTTCGGTTCGCTCGATACACAGGACTGGCGGACGCCGATTATTCAAAAAACGTCTGTATCGCGTCACGAAAAAAACATCTGTATGCGTTAGAAATATCACAAACATTTGAGATTGTTATACATTCAACTTATTAAAATTAAGAGTTTCATGTAATTAGTATATGTTTAATACAAACAGATAAATCTAATAAGATACTAGATTAGCATACTTTTTCAAATTTGATAAAAAAACAACGGTGTTAAATTTTCTTGTAAATATCATCTTTCGTGTTAGAGTCTATAACAATAACTTATACTATATATAATATAGGGAGGATTGGGAGGGAGGATATAAAAGGATTGGGAGAGCGGACCTAGAACTCGCCTGCCTGGCCCATAGAAAGGGCTGTCAGCCTGCCTTTGTAACCCTTGGACGCCCATTTTTTTCTGGGCTCCCACAAGATATAAACCTAGTAATATTAATGCCCCTATCCGTTCGCGGAATTAAACTGATTGATAATGAAGGCAAAAGCTTTGCAGTGTAGTAATTAGTAAACTGTAGAATGGTTTTCGAGGTGAAAACGCGAAATGTTACCTGACAAGCGTCCTCTCCGTAACCGGCTGCCGTGCACACGTGTTTAGTCGACGTCACGGCCCAGCTCTTTACGCATTCGGAGTTTGAAATGATCGGCAACGTGGCGTATTTCAACGAACTGGTTCCCACGCCTGTGGATCTATCTTTCCCCCATCCGATGACGATACCGAATTTCCCGGCAAAATCATTGTTCATGCTGTTGCATCCTGGCAAGCTAATTGGCTTGATGCTTTCTGAAATGTAGCGATAATAACTCGAACACATTGGCCAGATAACTGGTAAAAGCGAGACGAGCGATATAAATTGTATCTCTCTTACGTCCAAATGGAATATCCCGCGGCATGTAGAGCAAACCGACATCATTTATGGTTGGCTTGTAGGCTGGATGAAGTGCCCCTATTTCGGTCATCATAGAGATCCCAGGCCCTTGGTAGTAATTGTAGCCCATGCCGGATTTATCGTTGACGCCAAACAGCACGAAGAATTTTCGCGGTTCTTCGGCAACACAGTGACCCGCTGTCAATACCCATCTGCGAGAAATAATTGTTCCACCGCATTGACTAACGTATCCTTCGCCTATCAACCGATGGACCACAGCCATAAACGGAAACTGATTCTTCCTCGCGTATTTTCCTCCGGTTATCCTGTCCGTGTCCAAGTCATCCGAATAATTTTCTGCGAATTAAAATTGCAGCACAGATTAGAATAGATTACAATAAAGTCGAATTCTTATGGTTCCTAATGCTTCTTCTCTGTTTTATGATTGAAAGCATACCTTCGGCCGGCACAGAAAAGAGACCAAGGCTGCTGATATTTTGATGATTCGAACGACTGTTGTTGATAGCTTGGTCAGGTTTGTCGAGGATTCGTAAACTGTTCAACAGCGGACTGCACAACACATTGCTGCCGACGGAGACGGCAACGACGAGGAGGAAGAGCGATCTTACGTTTGTCAAAGTCATCTTGAACTGTGCAAATTCTGTGCATCCTGGCTTCTTATATACATCCGTCCACTCTGTACTCACCCTACTACAGAGGGTGGAAAAGCAACGGTACCTGTCAAGGTAAGGGATGCACAGAGTAAATCACAAGAAAGTAGAGACAAAAGGTCCTTTCCTATTTAGTTTTGTGGAATTTCGAACATTCTTTGGACCATTTTCAAAGAAGGAACACGACTGGACGTCGTTCTCCTTGTTACAATTTCTTGTGATTGATGGCTTTGGGACTACCATAAGGAGTCGACAACGTTCCGTCTTTTCGAAATCTTAAAAGTCACCCTCCCACTTACCGAGACCCAAGGGCAATATCAGCCTCTTCATCTGTATATACATAAACACGAAACTTCCGTCATGTTTTTGGGTATCTTACACAGGTAAAACTCGCACCAACAGAACACTATGCTTCACAGACGTGGCCTCGACGTGTAACGGATGGGCTGATGGTAAAATGTAGTTCCAAACTTCATCTGACCGTCATCAGACCGTCTGCGCGAGTTCTTTCCTGACCTCCGTACTAAACTAAAAGAAGGATGAGATTCTACTTATTCAGGATATTTAAAAAAAAATTATTTATAACATGCCGAAATGGTTAACTGGTGATATTGAACAAAACGGATTTACGGCAAAATATTAAGATTAAAGTTTTGTATAACTAATATATAAAATATTAATTTTTAATACGACAACTTTTGATTTAAAATGTATTGTGCTAATGAACGTTATTGTTAGAAAAATATTGTTCGTGTATTTTCAGTCTGTAAGAAATAGCGAATCGTTATGCAGAATAAATGACATGATACCAGAATCATGCACCTTATATACAGCAAAACATAAAGAGATAGTATTGTGCCTGACTATTAATGCTGATGATTACATATTTCGTATATTGACAGGTGCTATTTGTATTAGGTCGAGTTATAAATAACTTCCGTTCTTTTATCTCTCAGACATTTATTTTGTTTCTTTTTCACTTACTTTTTTCTTGTTTTTTTATTCAATTTATTTTGTGAAAGCAAAAATTCATTTGTTCGGGTGATTCATAGTGGGTAAATACGAACAATAGATTCTCCTTAGCTGCGTCGGAAGTGTCGCATATTACAGTGGTTCACGAAATTATTCGAAAATTAGTATAATTTTGACTTCTACGCCATATATTTAAATAAATATACATTGAAGGGAGAAGGTCCTTTATGGTATATTAAAGTAGAGTATATAAATGTCGAAATACGAAAAGCTTTCGATTTACATAGCATAAAACGTTTAAAAAAAAATATAAAAAAACATCGAATTTTCACGCTGCATAAAGTATTCAAACGCCTTATAAAATTAAGTTGGAAAGTTATAAAAATAAATTTTTTTAAAAGTATTACTACTTTTATACTTCTGTCGTTTAAAATATATTTCAAGATGTTTGACATTTTAAAAATTATTATTTATTTATGATCGATGTCGTTTTATATCATTATTTTACACGATTTTATGATCTGTTTCTCGTATGTATTTTTTGTTGCAACTTGTATGACTGTGTAAGATACGTGTAAATATAATTTGTTATCTTAATCTGTTAATGCATCTGAAGAAATTTGTAAAATTGGAATGTATTTTTGTTTAATTTTTCTCATATTAAATAATTATTTGCGGGTAAATGGGCCAAAAATGCATTTTAACTGTCCGTCTCCATAAAGTGAATTCGGTCATGCAAGTTGCAACAAAAAAAGTACATACTATAAAGAAATCATAAAATTCTGTAAAATAGAGATAATAATTGTTAAAATATCAAACTTCTTGAAACATATTGTTAAACAATAGATGGGTATAAAACTAGTAATGCAAATTTTTAAAAAATTTACTTTTATAAATTTTCAACTTAACTTACTTGACCTTGACATAACCATTGATTCCAAACATGAAAACGAAATATGAAATTATTATCCGTCGGTATCTCAATATCTAAATATTTATTTTTTAAATATTTATTTATTTATTCGTCTCTAAAGACGAATGCAATAAAATGCAGTGCTACACCATGCAATAAAAAGAATGGAGAACCATAAGAACTCTGGAAAAGATGACTTTTGAAAAAACTACTTTTTCTGTCGTATTATCAGATTGGCCAGTGATCCCTCGGATGGGATGCAGGGTCTCGGTAGGAAGAGTGAGAGAAGCGAGCGGGCACATGTGAGCGAGACATGGAAGGATAAGGCGGGGTTCCAAGAGGTTTGGAAACGGTAGGCCCGGTTTATTTTCTCAAACGATGTAGGCACATCGACGTTCCGAAATTCTTCTTCCGAAATAAGGAATTTGTCGTTCGTGAAAATCGATTTTTCAGCCACTTAACAAAGGATTGTCCCATTTTCGTTATCGAATCCCTCACGGCTTCTCCCTACTCGACGTAAATGCTTAGACACAGAAATCGATTTCTCTTTTCCTTTGTCGAATTGATTTTTCGTCACTCGGTGGCCCGAGTCGTGGAGGTTACTGACACTTACATAATCTTTGGCTTTTTAATATACATAACACGATCTATTCACATACTTCACACTTATATTTCAGTTTTAATTTAAATACTACCATTCAAAACTGCATAAATTTTGATATATGTTGTCTGTTGCTAAATAGGGTTTTCTAGAATTTCCGGGTCACGTGTTCTTGAAGCATATCGAAATTATTGTTAGAAGAATACTTTTAATTCCCATTCTAAAAACTTATCATTATCATTCATTTTATAATATACGATATATAATATGCGATATTATATTATTATATATATATAATATGCGATAACATAATTAAATTAAACAAATTCCAATGAAAGAGATAGGTAAATGAGGAGCGGATGGAAAGTGTCTGGATTAATCTGGATTAATCAACGTATTATACACATTTAGATTGTATTTATGCTCCAAAAATCTACTTGATACAAGAAAAACTGAAAGTTGCCATACGTTTAAACAATTTGTTGGCCCTGAGAAGGGCCGATTGTATTTTTTTGTTTTTTGACGATATTCTTTAACCTCCAAAGCCGTACAGTGTTCTGCCTTGTCGTTTCAAAGCGTACACAACATCCATAGCTGTTACTGTCTTTCTTTTAGCGTGTTCAGTGTAGGTGACGGCGTCGCGGATAACGTTTTCCAGGAATACCTTCAAAACGCCACGAGTTTCTTCGTAGATCAAGCCGCTGATTCGCTTAACACCACCTCTTCTTGCCAATCTGCGAATAGCTGGCTTGGTGATGCCCTGGATGTTATCACGCAACACTTTTCTGTGCCTCTTGGCACCTCCTTTTCCCAAACCCTTTCCACCTTTTCCACGTCCAGTCATGTTGTATTGGAAACGTAATACGACTGTGAGGTTCAACAATGAAATTAACTCAAAAATCTTCCGGCGTCCGTTTATATGTTCCTACAACCGCGTTCCCCTACCACGTTGACGACCGTTACAAAATGCGGGCCATCTGCTCGCAGGTTTATCCCCTCCATTCTACAATGGGCCAATCCGCTGCGCCCAGCCGGCACCTCGCAGGCCATATAAGCAGCCGTATTCTGGGTCCGATCGCAATTTACTGTTGAATTCTCCGCGGAGTACTTTCTACGATTCTTTGTCGATACACGTCTCAGCAAGATGGCTCGCACCAAGCAAACAGCTAGGAAGTCTACTGGTGGTAAAGCTCCCCGTAAACAATTGGCAACAAAGGCCGCCCGTAAAAGCGCGCCTGCAACCGGAGGTGTGAAGAAGCCCCATCGCTACAGGCCAGGAACTGTGGCCCTCCGAGAAATCCGTAGATACCAGAAAAGTACCGAGCTTTTGATCAGAAAGCTACCCTTCCAACGACTTGTCCGTGAGATAGCTCAAGATTTTAAAACCGATCTCCGTTTCCAAAGTTCCGCTGTTATGGCCCTGCAAGAAGCCAGCGAAGCCTATCTCGTTGGTCTCTTCGAAGACACCAATCTCTGTGCCATTCACGCCAAGAGAGTAACCATCATGCCTAAGGACATCCAGCTAGCACGACGAATTCGTGGAGAGAGAGCTTAAGCTCCTCTAAGCATGATCATAAACAAAAACGGCCCTTTTCAGGGCCACCAATATTTTACCGAAGGAACGTACCTCAATTCACTATTTTGTTACCTCTCAACTGACGAACTAACAGAGACGAAAGAATAAAGAAAATTATAAATGTTTAGGTACAACTTCACTCCTTTGCAGTCCGAAATCTTTCCTTTTTTTATTTCTTCACAACTATCTATAACATCATACAATCAGCATTATTTGAATATTGTGTCTGCTCCAGACATTTCCTGGTTCGACTATTGGTAATAATTCTTACTACTAGACTGCGGATTTTTATGCAAAATGAAAATTGTCTGTATTCATAGCAAGAAACAGCTCTTAACAAACATTTATTTATTTTCTTAGTATGTTCATGTGCAAAACGCGCAATACAACAGCTGTTTTGAATATCATCTATTCATGTTATAAATGCATAAAATCCGTAATTTACTTATTAAAATTACATGTTTGAATAAATTGATTTTATTTGTATTCTATTAACATATAACGAACTGCTTTTACACAGAAGTTCTGCAAATTTTTTGCGTAGACAAAAACTGTTATAAACCATGTACACTTCATATTTGTTAACAACTATTATAAATTTTATTTTAATTCAAAATTTGTTAGCATTTAGTAGTTAAATTTAGCACTGTAGTGATGTAAACGTTTTACTGTTGAAGATTAGATATTGTGGAATGTGTACACTATGTGTGTGTAGATAGATACAAGAAAATGCGTTATTTAAACAAAATCTAACAGGAGGTTTCTCATACATATCGTGATTGTGAGAAGGGATATGTATTTCGTGACAGTGATTCCTGACATCGCTTCTACTAAGCTTACAAATTAAAGCCACTAGGTTATTTAATTGTGGAAAGTGCAAATTGAATAATATTAAGTAAATAATCAATTATACTTTCAAGGTAAGATACATTTTATGATGATTTTTGTTTTTTATTCGTACAGTTCTATGTATATTTCATTATTTTATATTTTTATTCATACGAATAGAAATTTGAGAGGTTATAGTACAAACCCATGTATTTACTTCGCATCAGGAACATAATCTCTAGTCAATCTTTAGTCATTTTAGAACAGACTTCTGACCAGGCAATTTTATTTGAAATTTTGAAGAAGACAAATGGCAGGATATGAAGACACTTACATTGTTTGGATAGATACAGAGGTACATCATAAAATACCCTTTACTCGTTTGAGTCTTTCGCTTATTATAATATATATATTTTTACTCTCAGTTAACAGGTTTGGATATAGAAAAAGATACTATTTTGGAAATTGCTTGTTTAATAACAAACAAAGATCTAAACATAATTAGCAAAGAATTTAATGTTATAATTAATCAGTCGGATGAAACATTGAACACTATGAATGAATGGTGCATAAAACATCATGCGGAAGTAAGAAAATATCTAAAAGAAGACAAAATTATTTTAATTGAACTTCTTTTTGTACAATGATTATATATATGTTTAGACAGGATTGACAAATGATTCAAGATTAAGCAAAATTAGCTTAAAGGAAGCTGAAAAAATGTTACTTGATTTTTTAAAGACATATATCCTAAAAGGAGTTTGTCCATTGGCTGGCAATACAATCTACATGGATCGTATGTTTTTAAACAAACACATGCCCTTAATCAATGCTTATTTACATTATAGAATCATTGATGTAAGCACGATTAAAGAACTTGCCAGGTTGTATTATTCACATCTATGTTATTTATACATTTTAATTACAACTATGTTATTTGAGTATAATATGAAATTTATTTGCAGGAGATGGTGCCCTGCAACTTACCAAAATGTGCCTAACAAACAACAATGCCACAGAGCTTTGGCAGATATACGAGAAAGTATACAAGAACTAAAATATTATAAGGAGCATATATTTACTAGGAGCTTTATTTTCTCACTCTAATCTTAAATGAATTGAATCAGTTAGTAAAAAAATATTTGATGGCCAGTTGCAAGAATCATGTTTTCAATCTATTTTATTTACTGATTTACTATATTCCGTTTAAGTCAGGAAAATATTAGAAGATCTTAGGTATGAATTAAAATGACCATTGCATATCAATGCTGTTTTATGATTGTATAAGACTTAGGTTTCAAGTGAAACATAATGCATTTTACATTAGTTACGAATATTTCATATGTAATGATACATAACACATCACAATTTGTTGCATAATTATTTTTACAAACTGTACTTAAAAAATAATGCGTTATTAAATGTTATATATTAAATATTAATGTGTTATTAAATAAAAATCGTGATAAATATATAAATGTCTTATTTTCTCTCCAACCATTGATATTTTAAATGAATGTATATACATTATTCTAATGCAAAAAACGTTTTCAACTATCATAATAATTTTAATTTTTCATTTACAATAACTGAAATACATAAAGTATTTAGGTGAAGTGAATATATAAAAATTCAGTTATGCATGTGTAAGATAACAAAGAGGATATAGGATATCCTCGTGGTCATTGCCTTTCCTAGTGTGTACAATTACATCATGAAATGCTGTCATCACATAGCGGTAAACGCCCGAACTAAATCTCTCTTATCAAAATGCAGAGTCAATATTATATAAAAGAACAAATGACAACGTTGCGAAAATCTAATTACATATTTGTTCTTGGAAGTTTATTTAATTATTTTATTAATTAATTATAGTTTGTGTTATTGTGACTTGTCTTTTTCGTACAATATCGATGCAGCAGATTCTCCTGAACAGTTCTGTGGAGAAAATATAAAGCTTATTTCTTGGTTCATACAGCGCTTATTTATTATTTAATTATATATTTATTATTTAATTAGTCCGTGGCAAACGCTCAAATTGTTAGCCTATTACTGACAGTCGATTTTGGCCACGTACTAATTGGCGCTATACGCAGGGTCGCCTAAAAACATTTGTATTTTTTTAAAGCGATACAAGCGGTCTCTATCGGCATTTGGACGAAGAAGGTTAATTTAAATTTTTCGGTTAACACCGCGAAGAAGCTTTTTTCCATGCGAGACAGCGTATTATTTTGCGAATAATAAATAAATGTGTGAATGGAAATAATTAGAGAGTAGTTGAAACGTAAGAAACATTTATTCCTTGAAGATGAATGATAAACGCAACGGGAAAAAAGTGAGAAAACAACATATACAAGTCTTCGTTCGTGTCAGGTAACTGTTTCAATTTGTTGTTCATTAGCGATATTTTACTTACAAGTGTAACGTTACTATTGATGTTATTTTGTTTTACGACAGACCGACGAACGATGCTGAAAGGGCTGGAAAGTCAGTGACAGTGGTGGACACGGTGTCTAATAGAGAATTAGTTATCCGCGAAAAACCATGCGATAAACGCACAAAAAAATTCACTTTTGACAGAGTATTCGGGACATTTTCAAAGCAGGTACGCTGATATACATTTGATGTTGACAGTATGTAACAAGTATTGATGACTTATTTATTTGGCTATTTATGACAAATTCTCAGCTTGAAGTATACAATGTAGTTCTTCGACCATTGCTGGAAGAAGTTTTGGCTGGATATAATTGTACGGTACTTGCTTATGGCCAAACAGGTACTGGAAAGACCTTTACTATGGAAGGATTTGATAATAATCCAATGCTAAATTGGCAAGCAGTAAGTACAAATAATCCTTGCTCTTTCTGTCTGTTATATATATTTATAGAACATACATATTATCTGTTCAGGATAGTAACGTTGGGATTATACCACGCTCTTTAAGCCACTTGTTTGATGAACTCCGTACCTTAGGAGTGCAGGAGTACTCGGTCAGAGTCAGTTTCCTAGAACTCTATAACGAGGAAGTGTATGATTTATTATCTGTTAATGATGGAGCAGCAAAAATAAGGTATCTATATCATCTATACTTCTCTATGCTTTCACTTCATTAAATATATTGTTTGTGGTTAAAAAGGATATATGAAGATTCAACCAAAAAGGGAGCAGTGATAGTAAATGGTTTGGAGGAAGTGACTATATATAATAAGAGTGATGTATATAAAATCCTCCAGAAAGGATCAGAAAAACGGCAGACAGCAGCTACATTGATGAACGCTAATTCTAGGTTTGTATGGAATTTTATTAATAACTTTCGCTCATCTAACAATTTTATCATTTATTTTCAGTCGATCTCATACAATATTTTCCATCACCGTTCATATAAAAGAGAACACCATTGACGGTGAGGAGCTCTTGAAGACAGGAAAATTAAATCTAGTTGATTTAGCGGGTAGTGAAAATATTGGAAGATCCGGAGCCGTTGATAAAAGAGCAAGAGAAGCGGGCAACATCAACCAATCTCTGTTAACCCTAGGACGAGTGATAACGGCACTTGTAGAAAATACTCCGCATATTCCTTATCGGTAATATATCGTCAAGTGTAGAAACATAATGCTCCCTCGGTTTCATATTATGGTGTACATAATATATATTGTATGGTCTTCAGAGAATCAAAGTTAACACGATTGCTTCAAGAATCGTTGGGAGGCCGTACCAGAACCTCAATAATCGCCACAGTGTCTCCTGCTAGCATTAATCTTGAAGAGACATTGTCAACTTTGGACTATGCACATCGCGCAAAGAATATTACGAATCGACCAGAAATTAATCAAAAATTTTCAAAGAAAGCATTACTTCTAGAATACACAGAGGAAATCGAAAAATTAAGGAAAGATTTATTCGCAACCCGCGAACGCAACGGCGTATATTTGGCTCCAGAAGATTATAACGAAATGCAGTCATTGATAGATTTTCAGAACAGAGAAATAGAAGAAAAATTGAATCATATTAAAGCACTGGAAGACACTTTGCACTACAAAGAGGTACACACAAAAATTCTAAACGTATGTTATTATCATTTGTTCATTGAATCTTTTATTTTAGCAAATATTTAATGATTTGAAATCGAAAAATTCGATACAAGCGAATGAATTATTGAATAAGAAGGATCAGCTAGAAACAACGGAGCATTCATTAATGAATGCAACATCGCGTCTTGCGATTTCAGAACAAGAAAAAGAAGAACAGAAACATCTTGTAGAAAAACACGCATTAACTGAAAATGTTCTTCTATCACAAGTTGGATCAGTTTTGGAAGTCGTAGACACGGCTACTACAGACGTGCAGAAACTCCACGATAAAATTTTTCGGAAAATGTAAGTGTCTTCTTCAGTACAGAAACCAAATGACTGGTAATATATGAAAAATTAATGGCACGCGTTCATAGGCAAACAGGACAACGGAACAGTTCTCTTGGACAACAAACTAAGCATAGTATCAAAGAACGTTGCAGAAAAGTTGAAGCTGATGTTTCAACGCATGCAAAAAATATGACAGAATTCTGTCAATCTTTGGGTTCCTATATCAGTAAGTATTATTTTCTAACGGAAAGTGATACAGTTTGAAAATAATTTTTTTTCGGTTTCTAGATGAACAAACGCTTTTCTTGGAAGAACGTATTAACCAATCTTTTAAAGATATTTCCGATAATTGTATTATTCCAACTAAAAGTGTAACGGATGAATTGACAAGACAGACAGAAGATTCCGTAAGTGATTATTTTAATGAAATTCATTCATACGTTTTGCATTATCGGGAACGCATTATATACTTTTTCAGCGTTCGAGATATCAAGAATGCCTTGAAAAAGAACTTGGCATTGTGACTACTATGACTGAGCAAGAGTGTAATATAAACAACAGTTGTTCCATTAAAGCAAAGAAACTACAACAGGTGATAGACAATAAAATTGCTGAACATTTAAAAAATTTTCAAACCAGTATCTCTCAAAGAATCGATAATATTACAACAACAGCTATCAGATCTTTAAGTTTAATTTCACAATCGTCAATTAATGAGCGTCATCGTTTAGATAATATTGTTCAGGATATTAGGGGAAATATTGAAGACATTCGACAAAGTCAAAATGGTATTATGGAGAAGGAATTCAACTTTGCAAAGGTATGTGCTTTTTCAAATTTATGAAACGTCATATTTTGAATGATTCGAACTTACAGATGATGGAGGAATTACAAAATAGTTTCTACGAGCTACAAAGCGAAGATAAGGAAATTCATTCATCCATTAGCAATAAATTGAACAATGTTGATGAAACGTGTAATGTTATAAATGACGAAAGTACAAATGCATGTAAAATAAAGACAGAGAAAGAAAATAATATACAAGTGAAACTCCAGAATGACTTAGAAATAATTAAACAAATGGTCTCGGAAGAAACAGAGAAGGTAATCTACACATAGGTAATCTGTAAACTTTAATTTTTTTAATTGTATAACTTAATACTGTTTCATATAGATGAGCAGAATATCACAAGATTCGGTTGCTGAAGCTAAAGCACTAATCAGCGAATTTCAAGAAAACCTAAACAATAATTGTGACACGTTAGTTAAATACCAAAATTGCGTAAAATATTACATGACAGAAATACAACGAAAAATGAAAGAAGATGAAAGCCTTATTTTAACATTAATTAACGTAAGCTTCATCATTATACAAATTTATTATAATTATATGCTGTTATTGTTTATCCTAAATTTTTATTGTTTATAATTTGCAGGATGTATATACGATAGTTTTTAATGCAGGTAACGAACGTTCAAGATCCTTAAACAGTTTGAAATCAGCGTTCGTAGAAGCTTGCACCGCAATTAATGAAACACTGGATCATGAAAATCTACATCTCGGTAACGAGAATAGTAAAATTATTGCAGAATTGCAAGCAATACGTGACCGAGTTGAAAAATTCTTCGTTGAAGATTTATATCGTGATATTCCCACAGGTATATATTAATTCTTCATTGATTCATATTTAAAAGGTTGTGTGCTATTTTCATTGTAAATTATAGGTCAGACTCCTGTGAAGAAAACCTTTCAATATTCTAAAATTCTTGCTAAAACGTCTCCGCCAGAGCGTATACTTCAAAGGTATAGAGAAACACTGATGGAATTAAATACTGAAGAAAATGAAGTAAGGGTTTACCTTATCCCTTTAAATAACCCAGTAACTCTATTCACTAAAAGCTATGTTTTTTCCAGCAAATCTCATCTTTAAATAACAACACAACTATCAAGGAATCTTTGAAGGAAAATTCGTATGAGGGCTGAAGATATGTAGCTCGAATAATTTTATTATAATTGTATTATAACTATTATAAACAGTACGATAAATATTATTGGTCGCGGTTGATTTTTTGAAACGGCCCAGTTTTGCGCATACGCTGGCGATTGTGGCGCCTCTTGGGATGAAATCAAGAAACTTCTCAGCTCCTGTACAACGCCAATTAGTCCAGTGGCAAAACGCTCAAACTGTTAACTAAAATTGACTGTCGGTAATTTTGTTTACTAGTTTTAGTGTTTTACCGCTATGCTAATTGGCGCTGTTTGGATTCTAAACAAAGAATTAATTAATTACATCTATAAAAGAAAAAATATGTAAAAAAACAAGAGAAATTGAAACAAAATCTTTCTTTAGACTTATTTAGCATATTTATTATAATTTATAAGTTTCTTGCAAATACAAGTATTAAAAACAAAATGCAAAAATGTATTACTTATTTTTAGGCTTTAAAACTTTTTATTTCGATTAATTGATTAAGCATAACTTAAGTCTGATTTTTAGTGAATGAAACATTAGAAAAACGAAAAATGGGTGTGCGTGGCATGTGGCACTTTTCGTGACACCCATTACATTGCCCTGTGGATTGTTTTTATTATTGTGTTCTGTCAAATAGTAAGATAGCAATTCGACGCTTCGCGATGCGAAGTGTATGCCACGTGGTTAAAACATGGGTTTGTTGGAGGATACGTTCGTGATTCTTGTTACACAGGTGTAAATTCATTTCCTCTAGTATTTATATTTATGCCGGTACTCATAGACGTTACACAATTAGGTTATGAACGATTAATTTTCTGCATTAAGAGGGAACAACAATTGTAACCGTTGTCACACTTGACGATGCATTGTTTTGACTATAAATAAAATGTCTAATATCTGCGATATTTTAATTAAAAAGTTCAATCATATTTAATACTGGTCTTAAGATTTACTGCAAACTGAATTTAGCATTACGATAAATTCGACGTTAATGTATTAAATAAGATTGCAAATTGTACTATTTACATGTAATTTACGCTGATTGTATTAATACTGCCGCAATAAATTGGTGGTTTCAAATTGTGTGGTTTATTTTACAAACTGCTATACATTTTCAGTTAATCTTGTGTAACTAGATTGTGTATTGTCAAGTTTAACAATTTTATGTCTGCGGATCTTTCCGTATTCATTGATGTTACGCATTCCAGATCATCTTCTTCTTTGGAGGATGGGTATTTTTTGTAAAGAAATTATTTCGAGATTACGAAGTCCATCACAGATTAGTACAGTTAATTTTTTCCACGACATTTTCATTGTCCTGTACTATGTTTGAGCTAATTATTTTTGAAATAATAGGAGTCCTTGATTCTAGGTAAGCAAGTGTTATCTTGTCTGTAGAATCATATCTTTTATACCAAATTTCATTTAGTTCTAGATATTTTCATTGGAATGCTGGTCTCTATATGCTCCTATTTATGGTAATCGTGTTGATTCCATTTTACATAGCATACTTTATTATCAGTAATATAAGATTTGGTATGTATTAATTATGAACGATCATTAGATTACGAATGTTTCTGCACAACAGCTTGGAGATCTGTATCGATAACCGATATTATTACTGATTCTATGTTTTTCCTGCAGTAAGACTGAAATTAATAAGGCCATTAACAGTCGTTGTGTATCTCTTTTATCTGTATCTATTCTGGAAAGTGGGAGACCCATTTCCAATTCTTAGTCCAAAAAAGGGCCTACTGTCTATCGAACAGGGTGTTAGCCGAATCGGAGTAATTGGAGTTACTGTAATGGCACTGTTATCAGGATTTGGTGCTGTAAACTATCCATATACCTCTATGGCTTACTTTATGAGACCTGTAACATATACCGATGTACAGGCCATAGAGAAAAGATTGCTGCAAACAATGGATATGATTGTTGCCAAGAAAAAAAGGATAGCACTAGCAAAAAAGGGAGAAGTTGTAGGGCATACTGAGGCACGGTCTAGACTTTGGGGCATGTTGGGCCCCTTAAGTGGCGCTAAAAGCAATCAAGAAAGTACGTTTTTAATGGTTTAATATTCTTGAAGAATCGAGTAATTTGTTACATAATAGAATGAACATTTAGGTATTAAACAGTTGCAAACGGAAGTGACTGCTTTAGAAGAATTGTCTCGGCAATTGTTTCTAGAAGCACATGATATTCAGAATGCGAGGGAGCGTTTGGAATGGGCGGCTACTTGGCAAGGAAAATATTTCAATGTTTTGGGATATTTCTTCTCTGGTTATTGTACTTGGAAGATATTTATTGTAAGTGTTAAGATTGATCAATCGAAGGGCTATATGGGATGCTTCAATATGTATGTAGTTTGTTCATGTGAAAATTTTCATTTTCCAGTCAACGATCAATATCGTTTTTGATCGTGTTGGCAAAAAGGATCCTGTGACCAGAGGAATTGAAATTGCCGTTCACTGGATGGGATTTAATATCGACGTTACATTTTGGTCACAACATATTTCATTTTATCTCGTTGGCTGTATTGTATTAACGTCAATCCGCGGATTATTATTAACTCTTACGAAGGTATGCTCAAGAAAGATCTGTTTATTCTGATAGAGTGGTCTTTGATATTTATTAAGTATAACGTGTTATGTACATGTTACATTAACATTGTATCGATACGTCGTTGGATTATCAGTCTTAGAAATTCTTATTAGGCGGCTGATCTTATTTCTTTCTATTTCAGTTTTTTTATGCTATATCGAGTAGTAAATCATCGAATATTATTGTACTTATACTTGCTCAGATAATGGTAAGAACTACTATCTTCTCTACTGCTAATAAATTGTAGAAATGCTTGATAACGAATATTATGTTCTGTTTCTTTCTAGGGTATGTATTTTGTATCTTCTGTACTTTTAATGCGGATGAATATGCCAGCGGAATATCGTATAATAATCACCCAAGTTTTAGGAGAATTGCAATTTAATTTTTATCATAGATGGTTCGACGTGATCTTCTTGGTATCCGCATTATCTTCAATAGTGTTTTTGTATTTAGCACATAAGCAAGCACCGGCAGAACGTGTTTAACATAATAAAACGTTTTTTAATAAAACACAGGCATGTCTATGTATTTCGTGTTCACCGTTTCTTTGGGTGCAAGAATATTCTACGACTAAATCAATTTTTGGTTCGGGAATGCATTTATAGACAAAGACGGAAAAAATTGCGAAATATATAGGCAATAGAGGATTCGATATGTTAAGAAAGAATTTAAATATTTTTTTAGAAACATGTTTATGACGCTTCTATTTCTAATACATTTAGTTATTTTATCAAAGATGACGTTTATGATTATAAGCTTTAGCGGTTGTATAATGATTTTTGTTCATGCCAACCACTCGATTAAACAGAAAAGATCTTTTTAATTCGCTAAAGTAATATAAGTATGCTGTTTACATAATATCTCTAAGTTGTATTTGCTCCATTATAGTATACAATGTCCCCTTGATCACAGACAGCTGAAAAAAATGCGCGGATAAAAAGAAAACTGGCATTATTGTATAATAACTAAGATTACGATGAATAAATCTGTGACTTTAGGAAATTAATTCGATTGTCCATTCTTCTCCCATATTTACACCTGGCTTACGTACGGTTAATACGTTATTATTTGGATTGTATTTGGCTTCCAAAGTAACTTTTTTTAGAGCTAAAAGAAAAAAAGAAACGGTTCGCATTTAATTTATGAAATTCGTCAGTTCATATATATATATATATATATATATGACACATAATTACTTACAGCGTGATGTTAACACAGCCGAAGTGACTCCGCGAGGTGGATTCGCAATGTCCACCCTTTCCAACCAGCTTCCCGTTACATACGAAGCTAATTTATCTATAAATGTCGACGTTAATTTATTTCCGTCTAAACTGAGTTTCAAATATAGATATTTTCCATGGCGATATTCAAAGCTAGACTCGTCATCAATGTACAGCGTCCCGTTAGCTTTGCCATCAGAATCGGCGATGACTATCAAAGTGTATGGATCGTTCTTCATCGGGACCGTGCTGCGACGTATTCTCATTTTGCGTGGAACTATAGACCCGCCTCGTTGGAATACCGGAATCTTATGAAGGGTCACAGGGATGGTAACGGATCCTGCCTGGCGATAGGGCTGCATGGTGTCAACGTCGTACCAAGTAATTCTTCCCTCGCCAGGGAAATATACGTTAACATCGGTAACGGATGGTTGAAAGACTGGATGTACGAGAATAGAGTCTCCAACGAGTACTTCATCATCGATAGTATACGTATCTATTTCAGTGGGATAGTGTGCCCATAAGGGTCGTATAACTGGAGTGCCGTTTATTTCGTGTTCTCGGAAGAGCGTGTACCATAACGGTAAGTACGAGTACCTCATTCTGAATGCCTCTCTGACAATTTGGAGAGTTTCCTGGTTGAATGTCCATGGCTCACGACGCTTGGTCTCAATGTGAGAATGTTGACGGAAGAAGGGAAGCCAAGCTCCAGCCTGATTCCACCTGATGAACAATTCTGAATCTGGGTTCTTGAAGAAACCTGCAACATCTGCTCCACAGAACGACATCCCAGCGACGGCCATACTGAGACACATTGGGTAGGTTATACGATAATGGTCCCAATCGCCCGTGTTGTCACCAGTCCACATGGCCGCGTAACGTTGTGACCCAGCGAAAAATGATCTTGTTAATATAAATGGTCGTAGGGTGCCCCCAGATCTTTTGAACAAAGCATCGTATGTAGTCATGTGTATGCGAAGTCCATTGATGTTGTGGAGACTTCTATGCTCCCAGCCACCATAATGCACAAGGTCTTTGGGCATAGTAATTTCGGGACCATTGAATACGCTTGGCTCGTTCATGTCGTTCCAAATGTACACGTCGTTGGTAGTTCCATGGAATTTATCTAAGCTGTACTGACTTATGCAGTATTCCTGCACTTTTGGGTCGAAGAAATCCAAGTACGAAGACGATCCTGGCCAGCACCAACCTTCGTAATCCTTTCCATCTTTTGTCTTCACATAATATCCCATTTTGGTAGCGTCATTGTGAATGAAATAGTTTGAATCGCGTTTGATATGCGGATCAATGATGACTATCAGTTTTCTACCCTTTGCAGTCAAATTGTGAATCATTTCAATAGGATTAGGAAATTTGCGTGCGTCCCAAGTGAAGTACCTCTTGCTGTCGGTGTATTCGATATCCAGCCACATAGAATCCAATGGTAAATCGTGGGTATCAAAATTGTCTGCTATTTGCATGACATCGTCTTGATCATTGTAATTCCAACGACTCTGATGATAGCCCAACGTGAACATTTGCGGCAAAGGTGCAGTGCCCGTGAGAGTGGTGTATTGTCTGAAGACATCCAAAGGTCGAGGGCCCAACAAGAAGAATGCATCCAGAACACCATTCTCAGACATGAAGTGAGCATCAACTTGAGACTGTTTGACAGAGCCGGATACATAATTTACAATGCTTTCTACGACATTATTATCAGCGCTTGACAAAATGTCGACCCACGTTTCCGCAGCGTTGTGCCAAAACACGCCGGTTGTCCTTTCTTTGCCATGAGCATAGAGAACAGGTATTGCTCCATAAATTGCCATTCTTTCATTGACTTCATATTCGAACACATCCAAGTTGTACAATCTGTACGGATGAGCTTGTTTTGTTGATTTTAATGCGAAAGAATCAGCATGCTCCGGTATACCATATGCATGTTCCGCTCCAGGGAAGCTGAAATCCAATGCTATCGCTTCCGGGCCAAAAGGTTTCGAGTCGTGATGGGTCTTGAAGTTCTCCTCCCATGCACCAGGATCATCTTCTGCTCCGTCGCCCGGGAATTGACTGGTGTTTGTATTTTCAACATTTTCTGCATTTTCCTCTTGTTCCGGTTTACTGTTGAAGAGTAAAAATAAGATTGTTAGTTAAATAGGTTTCAACGTATCGAACAATTCTTGTACAACATACTTAGGCTTTGCACGATGATGCTCGAATCTCATGAGACCCCTAGCATTTGCAGATACAACTAGCACATCTTGAGAATACAAGTCTACCCTAAACGGCGAAGCATATAATATAACTTTATTTGCTCCACTCTTTACGGTCACGTGATCCACAGTTTTCTCAACCAAAGTTAGTTCGGCTGTTTGAGGCTGATCCTGAAGTGCATTTTCAGGCTGGTATCTTGGGTGTAACAGATTCTTTTCATTGATGTGGAGCCTAAATGTATTGTCCTTTAATGCAGTTAGCTGCAGTACATAAAGAACACCTGTATCCTTGTTAAACAAGTCTGCAGTTACACTATATTCATTAGATGTAACTGTATCTATTAATAGTTGATACGGTGATTTTCCAGGTTCAACTTTTCTGCAGCGTCTATTGATACAATGTAAAAATATATTTAATCGTACTTTACATAAAGAAGCATGTAGCTATATAGGATAAATATATTACCTGCAGAAGCTGCTTTGATCACATGTTTTGAACGTGTCTCTATTTACTGCATTCACAAAGAGTGGAGAACAGACTAATAAGAACAGTAATCCCAACCTGTAATATACGTTTCTAAATATGTGATACATTTTTGTACGACAGTGGTGGTAGTCGAAAGTATCAGTTTTAAGAACATCTACAGTGTTTTATATCAGATAAAAGCAAGGAGGTATGAAAAAATACTGGTATTATGTCAACCTAGTAGAACGTACTTTGTAACGTTTCTAAATTACAAAATTCATTGTTAAACGAGTTTAGACGGACAATATCGATGCTACAAAGAAATCATCGAAAGTAAAGTAGCACCGCGTGTCGTACTGTTCGAAAAAAATTGCTTATATCAAAAACGATGTTATCATGGACACGTCAGCGTGATCGTTATTCGGGTACGAAAATAAACATTAAAAGAGTAAACATTACTGGTAACTTTTCATAATAGAACGTTCAGCGAAATTAGTATTTCCAGCCGGAAAATATCAATTTTGTTATTTTGAAGGTTAAAAGGCCGAAAATAATTAACTTACCGCACATACGAAGCCATGTTGAGAAGTAACAACTTTCGCTGCATACCACATTCTTGCTAATTCGAACGAAATATAATCGAATTTTACAGATGGAGCTTCGCTCGTTCGATTTGTTTTCAGCAAATTATCGCTTTTGAACGTTATAAAACACATACAACTGAAATTGTTACAGAGAATGTTTATTGATTTACCTGTTAAACACTTTTGTTTGCTGAAATATCTGGTTGTTCTTTATTTTCTCGAAAATATGACGTTCTTGAGCAGAGATACAGAAGGAATTTTCAAATTTTAGCGGGCTGGAATTTGAACAGGCTGACCCATGGACCTGAAGGGCAGAGTCTTAGTTCATAAATACCCATTTGTTTGTATATACGATATCGACGCAATAGATTCTCGTGAACAGTTCTGTGCCCTCGGTTTAGATTTGTATACCCTAATTTTGCCATAATTAGTTTTTTAAGCGGCCTCTCATTGTGGCGATTGTGGTGCCTTTTATGGAGAAAAAAATAAAGCTTAATTCGGTGCCCGTAGAGCGCCAATTGGTGCAGTGGCAAAACGCTTAAAGTGTTGGCCAAAGTCGACTGTCGATAATTTGGCTAACAGTTTCAACGTTTCGCCACTAGCCCAATTGGCGCTGTACGGACTCCGATCTAAGCTTTTTGGTGCAGTGGCAAAACGCTTAAAGTGTTGGCCAAAGTCGACTGTTGATAATTTGGCTAACAGTTTCAACGTTTCGCCACTAGCTCAATTGGCGCTGTACGGACTCTGATCTAAGCTTTACTTTCTCTTCACAAGAGGCATTACAATCGCTGCAATGTAGGAGCGCTTGAAAACGTTAATTATGGCAAAATTAAGCAGCAAAAAGTAAACCAAGAGCACAGAGAATTGTTCAGGGGAATTTGTTGCATCGATATCGTGTAACAAAACCAAACGACAACAATGCAAAATATAATTAGTTGACATAATGGTTAATCAAACATGAGAGAGCAATTAATTACGTTTCGCAATGCCGTCTTTTGTTTTTATATACGATATCGACATGTAAATTCGATGTACGAATTAGAAAATATTTTTGAAATGCGATACAGTCCGAACCTCGATCGAGCGATTATCGGTAAGCAAAACTGAACGAATGGAAAAATTTAAAAGGAATGGTTGCAAATGATACATGCCTTCTTTAAATAACATCGCACATTCAGTTTATTTGAATTACAAGAGTAATGCGTTCAGTCGGCAGGGAAAATACAGTCCTATGTATGTATAACTATATATTACACAATATAGAAGTTTGGCACTCGGATCGGTTCACTTTTTGGGGATGGTAAAAAAGCCTAACTGTTCGGTTTCTAGCATATTCATTAATCAACAATGGATCTTCTGATAAAAATTTGCCTCTCTTCGATTTTCGTACGATCGGAACTATTACATTAATGCATATGCTATGAATTCATGAAACAGTGTCTTCTATGTAGGAGTGTACATATTTCGTATATTTATATATATATTTATAATATTTATATATATATATAATATTTATATATATATACGTATATAATATCTATATATATATATAATATTTATATATATTATAATAATCTTCGCTATTATTATTATCACTATATTAACATCGACGTTTAGAGCGTTTCCTTAATTACAGTTCCCTAGGGTGTTAAGAAGTCGTCGTTAATTAAGGTCACTGTGAGTTTGCGCAGGCCCAGAAGACGTTAATATCCGCCGAAAGATCGACGAGCGCAAGAAGAATCGATCCGTTCTCGGTATCGAGACAATACTATCGATCGTTCGAGTGTACGGCAAGTTAAATGTTAATACTGGATAGAAAAACCGTGAAAATCATTGCCCGTTCGACAGATGATGAATGCGGCGAAGAAAAGAAGTTCCACAATCGAAAGTAGACTAATTAGCGGTGAATGGTTTCAAGATCTTGAAAAATTGGCCCACGATCTGATCACGATGAGAAGAATCGCTCCGAAAAAACATGGACGCGGGAAAAAGCAAGAATTCGCACTTGCTCCTAACAGGTGCACGGTTCGCCATAATATAGTACATATGATTTTGAATAGAGCATCTGAACCGGTAAAATTGTTAAATATTCAAACGTTTGCACTCGTCATCGGATTTCGCGAACGAATATTTCTAGCGTGGATAATTGTTTTTGTTCTGTTCGACGGGTTAAGAATTACGTGAAGGAAAAAGGCTCGTCGAAACGCAAACGGGAATTATCGAGGGATGAGAGTACGTCGCGGGTCAGTAGAAATACGTGGGAAACGTGTAAAAAGATATGTGCAAAACTCGTAGTGTTCCTATTGTACGGGGCGCGTCTAACGCGCGCATTTACGCCATTACAAAAGTCGCTTTATAATTTCTATACATTTCTCCCGGGGGTGTGTATATAAATCTCAAACACGCACTCCACCTTGCAGTCATTTCCCTTTTTCTCGTTTATAAACGTTAGGTAATTATGTATAATGTTTCTGCGCCTGATACTCTGTACAAACGTTTCCGACCATCGAGCTATACCGAGTAACGGAAGTATTCAAATCTCTTCCCGCCTTTGCAGGGTGCGAAATTCAAATCTCGGAGCGTATAAAGACTCGTTTTGCTCTCTCTCTCTCTCTCTCTTTCTCTCTCTCTCTCTCTCTCTCTCTCTCTCNCTATATATTACACAATATAGAAGTTTGGCACTCGGATCGGTTCACTTTTTGGGGATGGTAAAAAAGCCTAACTGTTCGGTTTCTAGCATATTCATTAATCAACAATGGATCTTCTGATAAAAATTTGCCTCTCTTCGATTTTCGTACGATCGGAACTATTACATTAATGCATATGCTATGAATTCATGAAACAGTGTCTTCTATGTAGGAGTGTACATATTTCGTATATTTATATATATATTTATAATATTTATATATATATATAATATTTATATATATATACGTATATAATATCTATATATATATATAATATTTATATATATTATAATAATCTTCGCTATTATTATTATCACTATATTAACATCGACGTTTAGAGCGTTTCCTTAATTACAGTTCCCTAGGGTGTTAAGAAGTCGTCGTTAATTAAGGTCACTGTGAGTTTGCGCAGGCCCAGAAGACGTTAATATCCGCCGAAAGATCGACGAGCGCAAGAAGAATCGATCCGTTCTCGGTATCGAGACAATACTATCGATCGTTCGAGTGTACGGCAAGTTAAATGTTAATACTGGATAGAAAAACCGTGAAAATCATTGCCCGTTCGACAGATGATGAATGCGGCGAAGAAAAGAAGTTCCACAATCGAAAGTAGACTAATTAGCGGTGAATGGTTTCAAGATCTTGAAAAATTGGCCCACGATCTGATCACGATGAGAAGAATCGCTCCGAAAAAACATGGACGCGGGAAAAAGCAAGAATTCGCACTTGCTCCTAACAGGTGCACGGTTCGCCATAATATAGTACATATGATTTTGAATAGAGCATCTGAACCGGTAAAATTGTTAAATATTCAAACGTTTGCACTCGTCATCGGATTTCGCGAACGAATATTTCTAGCGTGGATAATTGTTTTTGTTCTGTTCGACGGGTTAAGAATTACGTGAAGGAAAAAGGCTCGTCGAAACGCAAACGGGAATTATCGAGGGATGAGAGTACGTCGCGGGTCAGTAGAAATACGTGGGAAACGTGTAAAAAGATATGTGCAAAACTCGTAGTGTTCCTATTGTACGGGGCGCGTCTAACGCGCGCATTTACGCCATTACAAAAGTCGCTTTATAATTTCTATACATTTCTCCCGGGGGTGTGTATATAAATCTCAAACACGCACTCCACCTTGCAGTCATTTCCCTTTTTCTCGTTTATAAACGTTAGGTAATTATGTATAATGTTTCTGCGCCTGATACTCTGTACAAACGTTTCCGACCATCGAGCTATACCGAGTAACGGAAGTATTCAAATCTCTTCCCGCCTTTGCAGGGTGCGAAATTCAAATCTCGGAGCGTATAAAGACTCGTTTTGCTCTCTCTCTCTCTCTCTCTTTCTCTCTCTCTCTCTCTCTCTCTCTCTCTCTCCCGCCAGATGATCAATCGATATTTTCAATTAATAAAAGGATTAACAATCATTTGTGAAGCAACGACTATAAATCGTGATAATTTAAAACAGAATCGTTGTCCGAATATTTTCGTTACTCGGCGCACCTGTAAACGTTGGTTCCCGTTTTCAGCGATTCGACCGCAGTGATTCCCTATCGAGAGAAGCGAAGTACCATATACCGTGGAACACCGAAGGAGTAGAAATATTCTGATTGACGTAGTTTCGGTCGAAACGAGCACCGGAAACGAACGCGTCCGGACAGAGGATGCTTCCGATACGACACCGAACCAAGAGGAAAGACAGCAGCGAACCTGTCTTCTCGTTCTGACGAAAAGGTATTCTTACAAGACTTGGTAATCTCTTAGGCACATTCGATCCATAATAGCGACTGACTTAGTAGTTCTGTATACTTGCTTTATAGTCGGACCAAAACAATTCCATCTGCCCACGAATACCGAGGAGATCAACGACGATCGACCGACGAATCGTTTTGCCCCGATTACAATCTTCTCCGCGTCGCGGATAAGCTACAGTACTACACGAGATACACTGCTATTTGGGACACGTATAGTCATCGTTCCCAACAGATTGTTCTTTTGTACAAAAACGAAAGGAAGAACGAAAAATGTTGGCGGAAACTCTGATCCCAGATTCGCGAGTGTTCTTGCTCCGTAAACAAGAGCTTCCGCCACGGTTTCGCTATAAAATCGAGGCTTCCGGTACACATATCCCCGTATCCGCAGAGTCACATCTCTTTAGGCACATTAAGACCATGATAATCGACGACTAGTTCTCGCGCAGTTCGTAAGAAAAACATAGTCTTTCGTAGAGTGGAGGAAGTGTTACGGCTTTGTTCGCAGGGTCCGCGAACAGCCCTCCTTTTGCTAGACCCAGTACTGGTTTCTTCTTAACAAGGGGTTGTTGGTCCTCTGAGTGGTGGCCGATGGACAGGGCAGGTCCGACGTGTCGAAGCTGCTCCATTCGTCGCCATCCGCGACGCCGTAGGGATACCTGGCCGAGACGTCCACCTCGGAGCCCGTGATACTCTCAAGCGGACCCAGAGGTATTACCTTGCACGGAGGTAGCGTGGACGTCATGGTAGGCAATACTGGCAGCGGTGTGCTGGCGGCAACGCTGTTATGGTCGTTCGTGAAGCGCTTTAAATGGGGCGTGGTGGGCATCAAATGGTCCGGGGGTCTTGGAAGCGGCATCACGCCCACCGCCGGCGTCGTTTCCGGCTTCTCTTCTTCAGCGTGTTTGTATCTGTTGTGCCTGCACCTGATCGTGACGATCACGACCACGCCCAGCAGGAACACACCCAAAAGCATCCCCAGGATGAGCAAGTAGTCGTTGCTCATGTTCGGCGCAATTGCCATTTCACCCTCGTGGCCCACCGGATCCATAGGTCCTCCCAAAGTGATGTTGAACTCGTCCAAGTCGAGCTTCACACGGAACTCGAACTCCCCGACCGCGGGTTGGAAGATCGAGGCTGCCAGAACGAACGTGAAGCTGTCTAGCACCCCGTCGTACTCCATGGTGGGGATTTTCCTGCACACCAAGTACATCACACCGGACACCACCTCCTGGTGGGAGAACTTAGCGACCTCTTTCTCCCGGAACCCTCGCTTTTCACCAGAAGACGAGGAACTTCGGATGATCCTCTTTATCCTGCCAAATTTCGGCTTCTTCAACACGGTGTAGACGGGATTGCTGTTCGTCAGCTTGGCCAGGGGAGTGGCGTCCATGTGCTGCAGAGTGATCCGAGTCTTTTCTCCGGCTAACGCCACCATAGGCTTCATGATCATCAAGGGCGCCACTTTGATCTCGACTTTGATCTGCTTCTGCTCGAACCCGCTCAATCTCGCTCGCAATTCCAGACTGTCGTTGGACACCGTCATGTCCGTCTGCATGAACATTACGCTCTTCGAGAGCAAGTCCGTCTGCTTGAAACTGGCCGCGGCGCCGTCCCTGACGTAGAGCACACCGTACTTAGGATTGCTGGTGACCTCGTAGACAACCAGTTCCTGCCTCGCGTTCGTGTCGAGCTTCACGTTACTCTCGGAAATGAGCGCGACGTTCGAGCCCTGCTGAAGGCTCACCGGACCGGAGACCGTGACGTTCAGTTTGATGGGTTGAACGTAGACGTTGAAGACGTCGTACTTGTGATTGAAACGGCCGTCCCACACTCGGAAGTAGAACGAGGTCGCCTGAAGGGGCCCGTTGTGCTCGTACACCAGTCGACTGGAATCCACGTCGTGCTGCGTGAATTTGTCCACCTCTCTCACCTCCGACACGTTCTCGTTGAACGGTAGCAGCAACAAACGACCATAAGTAGGCGCATTGATCACGTCGTATACGATTTCTTCGGGAGGTGTGTCCGGGTCGATCGTCAGCAGACTCTTTCTGGTTATGGTCTGGTTCTGGTTCTGGACCACTTTGATGGACGGCGCGTTCGTGACCAGTCTGAACGGCTCGTCGTTCACCGGCCCGATGTTCACCGGGATGCTGGTGTTACAAAGGAGGATGTGGCCGGGCGTCAAGTACAACGAGAAATTGATGCGGTCCTCCAACGTGTCCGAGTGATCGTGATAGTAGGCGATCTTTCCACTCTCGATCTGCGGCTGGGAAAAAGTGGTCACATTCAAGTCCGGCATGATCATCACGTGACCATGACTCGGTTGACCAACCAGCCTCGAGAGCACCACTGGGTTCGAGATGCCCGCGTGGGTCTGAAGGAACGACACGATCCCGGAGATGTTCATTATCACCTGAGCGGAACTTCCCTCCTCCACCCACACGTTCTTCGCCGTGATGTATCTGTCCAACCCGCCGCTGGACACGGAGATGTCTATTTGAAACACCTGCAATGTGGAACGTAACAGTTAACGGACATTGTTCCGCATGATCAGAGATCCGATCTACGACGGGCATACTCGCCTGATTGGTTAAGGATTCCGCGAAGTGCGCCTCCGTGTCGAACACGAACGAATCGTTGGCGGTGAGGTCCATGAATTGTTTGGTATGCTCGTAGAACACTTTACTGTTATTGACATCTATTTGCGTAAACCGATCAACGTTCAACCATGCGCCCTCGTTCGTCTCCATGATGATTTTGCCCAGACGCGGCCCGTTCCGCACCGTGTACTTAATTTCCCGAGTTTCATCGGAGCACCTCGTTAGCAACAACTTCTCCGAAATCAATTTCCTGGTCAGGGGGAACACGTTCAAAGCAGTATTTCTTTCGACAGACAAACGAACCGGCTTTGTGCTGACCATCAGATTGTAGGACTCGGATGTGTGTACGCCGTCCGACAGGACGAAGTTGAACTCAGCGTCGGATCCATCTGGAAAGGGTTTACACAAAGGTATCGATTAACTCTTGTCATAGTGCGATTAATTAACCTTTTAGGCACGACGCGCCACTATAGTGGCTTCTGCGGATATCATCTTTCAGAACGACACGCCACTATAGTGACTTTCGCGGATGTTATCTCTCTGGACGACGCGCCACTATAGTGGCTTGCTCTAGTAGCTCACTCGCTCATCGTTTGAACCAAATAATCGTCTTCGTATGCATTGTTTCACACTTCTTTTGTCTTCGCATCGATTTACAACAGTCTACAGAAAAAATGTCCAAAAATGTCTCGCAATCCGGAAATGGCGGGTTCCTCGAATCATTTGAAGCAACTTCTTCCTTTACAAAAATTTTCTCCGGGGCACCGTTAACGAGTTATTAACGAAAAACAGTGACCAATAAGAATCGAGTACGGCTGACGCGAGGCGGCCCAGCCAACCAGTGCGCGAAGCCCAGTTCCGCTCATTGGCTCGATCGCCTCGCGCCACCCGAGTTCGCCTCTCATTGGTCACAGTTTTTCGTTAATAACTCGTTAACGGTGTCTCGAAGAAAATTTTTGTAAAGGAAAAAGTTGCTTCAAATGGTCCGAGGAACCCGTCACTTTCGGATTGCGAGACATTTTTGGGACACCCTGTATATACAGTATCAGACTCTGTACAGTACACATCAGACTCTGCCGTCCAGAGAAATAGCCTCGCGCAGAATTCAGCCGTACCTAAAAGGTTAAAGAACTCTAAAACGTCGGAGAACTATTTTAGGAACAAATCCTTATTGCTCACTTGTATGGGTGAAGAGGATCATCGCCTGATCAACCTGTTCCTGCGTAAAGCTATAGACATCCACTATCGGCTTCGACTTCAAAGATATGAACCCGTTTCTAACGCCGGTGATGTTGAAGATCAAATCTGGAGCCGTGGTGTCGTTATCGACCGCTGCCAGGTTGGTCGACGTCACAGGGATCGAGCCACCTTGCCAGACGTACAACTTAGTCCTGTTAATTAGCACTGGTAGTTCGTCGTTAACGGGTTGCACGTTGACCCAGACGTCGAACGGTTCGCTGGTCTTGTCCCCTGCAACGAGGACCATCTTGAACGAGTCCTTGGAGGACTCGTCGCCGTTGTGCTTGTAGAGGATCGTTCCAGCGGCCAGGTGTTTCTGAGAGAACTTCTTCACCTGGGTGTTCTTCGTCGCGTCTAGCACGGTTCCGTGTTTCGGTTTCTCGGTGACCCGATAGTCGGTCACCTTGCCGGAGTAGTAAGGCGTTAGGATCACGAAACTCTTTTCGTCGAGGACCGTGCTCTTCCCTTCGATCACAACGAGACTCTTCGCCTCGACGTAGAGCTTCTCCGGGACGATCACGAAGTTCACGTTGAGATCGTGTAACCAGGTGATTCCGTTGGTCGCGTCGACGACGAACTTGTCGTTCGTTTGATTGATCACAGACTGTACGTAAAACACCCTGCCCTCGTTCACGAGCTTCTGATCGAAGCTCTTCACCGCGTTACCGATGTAATCCTCTCGAGCCTCTTCGGTGTGCTCGTCGTGAATCTGCAGCTCGAGGTATCCGTTCTGCGGCCATTCCTTCAGGAAGTAGACGATCTCGGAGGCCGGTATCTTCGGGTGCATCACCTCGAGGCTCTTCTGATTCAATAGCACACTGGTTGCTTCCTCCACGAACACCGTTTTATTGCTCTGCACGATCAGCGGCTGCCAGTAGCTCTCGGGGTAGATCTTCACCGGGAACACGCTCTCGGCCTCCGCTCCTTTCGCCGACACCTTGAACTTGAAGTCGTCCCAGGCCAGCGAGCCACCTAAGTGCTTGTACGTCACTGTGCCGTACCGTAGATCCTCCTCGGTGAACGAGTTCGCTTCTTTTCCGGGCTTCAACAGTATCCCGTGTTTCGGTTTCTCCAGCACGGTGTACTTGATCTCCTTCTCGGACGTGTACACGTTCGTCTCGATGTCGAATTCGTTCGGCCTCAAGGCCACCGATCGGTTGAACTGCACCACGGACCCGTTGTTCACTCTCAACCTGATGTACGGCGGACTAGCTTGAATCTCGAGGACGCCGGCCGTGTAGAAGTGTCCGTCGGTGACGCTGAACTCGAATCTCCCATGGTCGTCGCCCTGGTGTCTGAACAGGATCTGTCCGTTGTTGATGTCTAGCTGGCTGAACTCGTACACCTGCACGGTAGGGTTCGATACTCTGACAATCCCGTTCCTCTGCGTGTCTCTTCTAGTGTAGATCAGCTCGCTAGGCTTCGTGTCCACGTCCTTGTCCACGTAAGCCAGGTCCTTGCTGGTGATCAGCCTCTCCCCTTTCGATACTACCTGGAACACTTTGTTCACCGATCGCTCCGGTACGTTGTCGTTCTTCATGGTAATTTCGACGCGGAAAGAACCGACGTACATGAAGTCCACGGGGTCCGCGGCGATCGCCACGTACTGGAAGGAATCCTCGCGGGTTTCGGAGTCGTCGTGAACGTAGTAGACCCTCTGCGAGGCGAGTTCCTCGGACGTGAAGTAGAACGTGTTGTTTCGTGAATGGGACCTGGAGTTGTTGACGACGGTGAGCCAGCCGTGACGAGGCGGCATGGTCATGTTGTATGTCAACGACGTCACCCCGTAGTCCTTAGCGTTGATCCTGTGGATCCTGACGTTGACGCGCGACCCTTCGTCCACGCGCAACGTCTCCACGCTGTCCAACGGCTTCATGCTCTTGCTGAGGTAATGCCTGAGCTTTAGGCTGCCGTGCAGGTCGATGCACTGCGGCGCGCTGACCTTGAACCCGATCTCGTCGAGGATCGTCGAGTGTGCTCGCTTGAAAAGCCGATAGACGAGTCGAGCGGAGTCGATGTCCTCCTGAGTGAAGGCGTCCCCGACTCCTAGCTTTTCGTTCGAAAGTAACAGGTTACCGTATCTCGGCCCCGTCGTCACGGTGAACGCGATCTTGCTGGACGAGGTCAGCAAAGGGTTCGTCTGGTACCTGAGGTTCTGCCCGGTGACGACGACATCGGCGACGTTCGTGAAGTTTATGGACACCCTTTTCATTTCTTTCAATTCTAAATCGATGAACATAATTTTGAAGTCGTAGGTGTGATGCGCCCTGACCTCTCGCACGCTCGCTTGGAACTTCAGCTCGTCCTGGTTCGGGCTGCCCTCGTTGTGAAGATACCTGACCGTATGCAGCTCGACGTCCCTGCTGGTGAAGTAGTTGACGTTCGTCCAGCTGCCCGAGACGTCCTTCAGCTTCTGAATCGTGCCGAATTGGGGCGGCGAGACAATGTCGTAGCGGATGTCTATAGTGTTGTCGTCCGAGTTCGTGGTGAAAGAAAGGTTCGCCGGGGTCAGGTACGAGAAAGATCGATGCACCACCACCAGCCCCGTGTTGTGCATCAGCTTGATGTCCAAAGAATGAGCAGCCACCCTCAGGCTCGCCGGCTTGCTGCTCTCGATCCCGTCACTCACCTGGAGGTCTAACTTTGCGTTCGGTTTCGCTGCGGGAACACAATCGTCGAAGATTTGATTAAACCAGCGGATTCTACAGGGACGAGGATTCCCTCGAGCCCAGGAGTCACGGTGAATTGGAAATGCTCCCTTTGGGTACATAAAAAGCGATATAAGCGTAGATGATACATTTACGATAAAATACAAGGATCGATCTCCTTGTGTTCATCAAGTTGTGTTTTGGCTTATTCGGTTTGTCGATTAAGAATTCATTTTCAGATCCGATCAAAGGGCCATATCTGTCGCGAATGCTTTAAATATGAACGAGTCCGAGTTCGAGAAGTTCCAAGAACTAGAAACATCTAGGATTAATTCACGGATGAAGCGTTTCAAAGCAGGTAGTACGCGAGGAAGTATTCTTAGCTGCTAGATAAGTACGGAGATATAGAATAAGATCTTTGCGTTTTTTCAGGTCCTTAAGACGAGTTCGTATCTAGCATGAAAAGCTGCCGTGCAAAATAACCCAGAATAAGATGATTACGTTACCATTTCCCCGGTGTACGTATGCAATTAATCCTTGCATCAATTCGGCTTGAGTGAACGTGTCGATGGGTCGCGAGGGATAAGTAACCCTCTCTACGTAGCCAGCGTCGGCGTCGGTACGCAGAACGGTGTAGACCAGCATATCCGACGGCGTGTCGGCGTCGATCGCCCAAACTAGTTCTTTCGTCAGAATCTTCCTTGTCCCCTGAGAACGATCGTACATCACAGTTTATGCCTTCTGCGAACACACTCGACCTACGATCGTGCATGAGGCCTTTAGACCAGGGCCGACTGACCTAGCTTCATCAAAATTTACTCAGAACTATGTACGGCCATGCATCGTCAATTGTTGAAACGGTAAACTATACCGGCCTCGGGAGCAGCTCAGGGCGGTATTAGATCAAAGGCAGGATATCGGCATTAGGAACTAAAATCCACTACTCCATTGGCGAGAGGAAAATTAGGGGACCGCTGCAGCCTCCGGAGCTGGATTTTTAGAGACTGGAAGAGCGCTGCTACAGCCCTGTCAAAATCGGGAGCATCGTAACCACGCCCACTCGGGCCAACAAAGACTCCCGACGCTTTCATCATCGACGCTGCGATACTTGCTAAATCGAGAGCTTCCTTCCCTGTTGCCGCGGAGAGCAAGGCTGTCTGTTCCCGGGGCAAATTTGTTGGCCATACCGGGTCTAGCAGCTCGACTAATTACGCCGGCCGATTGTTCCAGGTTCGGAAAGAACTCGGGCATTTCAATTACAACGACTCACCGGCCGGAGCGCCCTCGATCTCCGTCGGTATCTTGAACCCCGAAGGGGTTAAAGCTTAATTTGAACGGCGCAAGAATTATTTCGTTTAAGAAGATTGCTGGCTTAAGTGGTTAATTAAGGGCAGCGTTTGAAGCAGCGACTTAAATCGATTTCGCTCCGAGGCCGGCGCGACGCGGCGGCCGTCCGTTCCGCCGAGGACCGTGAACGAACGGCCACGATCTCGTCGAATCTCGATTAATTGATTTACTGTGGCGAGTCGGCGAGCGTGTCGGCCGAATCCGCGGCAATTACGTTAACGCCGGCGGCCTTCGGGTCGGTTCTCCTGCCGTAAAATTTCTGCTCGTGCGAGGAGACCGAGCGAGCCCCGACGCGATAGTACAACGTCAGTCTCGCCCAGCTGTTCTATGCATGGTGTGTCTTACCTGAGCGAGACGCAGCACTTTCGCGGTCGATATCTCGAGCAACGGCGGGTCATTAACGGGCGTAACGTTGACGTGTAGCGGGAACCTCAGTCGTCCTTGGAGATAGCCAGGTAACGTGTAACCGGCGCCCGCCACCAGCGTCACCTCCAGGATCATGCTGTCCTCCGTGGTCTCGCTGCCGTCGTGCATGTACTGTATCTGTCGCGGATTTCATCGTGATAATGAGACAATGCGCGACGCCGGTAAACAATGTTTCCGCGGAGACGTATGAATATGGATGTATCTAGGCCCGAAGCCGTGCGCCGCGGAGCGAGAGTCCCTCGAACGACGACGACGTCGACGACGATGAAACAACGACAACGGCAACGACAACGACGTCTCGCGCTCGTCGCGATTATTTGTCTCGCGACGACCGCGACGGCGACTTTATGAAACCGCGACAACATCCGGATGAAAAATGCCGGGTGTATGTGCACGCAAGCGCCCACGGTGCTCTCGAAGTTACACGAAGATTTACTCCTTCCCGTGTTACACTTTATTTACGAGTTCCAGCACGGGATCGAAATTTTTCCTTCTCCCCGGTTCGGTCTTTTTCCTCTCGACTTTCTTAACGAACCAATAAATTCTTTGACACGCCGAGACTCGTATCTCTCGTGTTTTTAAAACGGGCTTTAAAAGTTCCCACCCCCGGCACACGGTGAATCACCGGCGTTAAATTCGCCGGCGATTTAATAGCAGCATACCAAATCGACTCTATCTATGCGCTAATTTCTAACATGAGAAACGTATAACTCCACCCCGGGTCTCTTCGCCCGTGGAACTAGGTTTACGGAGCGCTAAAAGCAGCTGTTTTCTATACGTTTATAAAAGTAACGAGAAGCATTTATTCTGATTTTTAGCTCTCGAGTGTTATCGTAATATTCGTCGCCAATCACACGTATATTGAATAAATAACTCATAAATGTATCTTCGCAATCCGGATGATCGTAAATTAGAACATTTAACGATCCATCATATTGACGGTTCCGTAAACCCAGTGTTAATTGAAGTGTACGAGTATTTTCAATGGAGCGCGTACCTAGAAACAAATTACCGTATTTTTCTGCACCGTTCGTTTAGGATCTATCACGTGTCCAGCGTACCAGTTGTTTCTTCGAAAACCAGGACACCCAGTTTAGGTTTAACGAACCAATAAATTCTGTTTACGTCTCCGGCGTTTTCAAGGCGAACGTTTAAATATTCGCCGCCGGACCCTGCATCGCGCGTCACCGGCGTTAATTTCACCGGTCACCTGGTCTGTCGTAATTAAAATTAATTGCAGCGGCCCCGGTAAGCTTATAAATCGGCGATTAGCATAGCGAATCGACGGGGGTTCCGGGCGCGCGTTCCTTCGCCGGGATTTTCGTACGGGAAAACCGAAGGGAGAAGGTTTCCCGGGGTGAATAAAAGGAGAAGCAGGGGTATCGGGAAAGAAATAACCCGGTGGTAAAACGCGGGGCCCCGGCGTTTAATGGATACGCGGTTCCGGACCGAGCGCGAGCCCACGAAAAACCATTAATGAGCGGTGGTGGTGTTTATAAATAGAGCACCGTCGTTGGATAAATTGAGTGCAAGTAGAAGAGAAACAGACAACCGAGAGGTCCGACGACACGAGGAGCGGCCCCCCCACGGTTCTAAAGTTAGTTCTTCCACCGGCAACTATCTATAGCATGCGAGTCCTATGACGAACTGGAAGAGCGGACCGCGGTTTTTCATCGTCTTCCTCCTTTTTCCTCGAATAATTATCATCGAACACGCCATAGTTCCTCAAGCTTTTCTGGCGCGGAGCCCTTGCTCGCGGAGCTCTTTTTATTCAGTGTACCCCCCCCCCCCCCCCCCCCCCCCCCCCCCCCCCC